AAAAATAGACAGAAACTACAAATATCATTACCTCGATTTTCACCCATTCCCCTTCAAAGGAATGGGGGGAAACTCTTCTTACAAGGAAGTATTGGGGATCTGATTGAAATACAATTTTGGGTGAATCCTTAGAATAAAAATCTGAAAGTCTACATCTTATATCTGCTGTGAAATGGCTTGAAGACATTAGAGTGACATTGTTCACTGCCTATGGGAGCACTTTGCTCCCATCCTTCTGAAGATGCTGTCACCTGATCTCATGGGTTTACTATGTTGTCCATTATGAGTTCACTGTATCAACACTACATGGGTGCAGAAGAAGGAGTGGAGGATAAATATCGAAACACATTCCTCCTTTGCTTACGAGCAGGAAATTTAACAATGTTCTGAAAAATATCCTAGTAAATTGAAGATGAATCCACACGATTAAACTGAATACAGTCTGGGAGTGGAATTCTGCAACAGTCCTGGTTTCTAGACATGTTAATTGCTTGGCTCTAACTATGTAACAGTGGGTTGGCAGAGGCCACTACTTTCCCTGGGATAGTATGTGAGCATGAAAGGAGGAGATAAGGAAGGCATAACACACTTTTAATTCACAATTTGTTTTGAAGTTTCTTAATTTTTATGAGCATTTACATTTTAGCTCCCTAGTATTTTCTTGCAGGAGATAAAATGTAACATACAACATACCATGGTTATCAATGTAATCACTACACACACACACACACACACACACACACACACACACACAAAACCATGCCTCAGTATCCTTGGGTTACAATTTCCATAACCTCTCTCAGAGACCAAAACCTGCAATGCTTAAGAGTCTTGTCTAAAATGACATAGTGATACCGCATGTCCTCTACATACCCTCCTGGATGGTTTACAACATGTCTCGATTACTCATAAGCCTAAAACTGTAAAAGTTAAGAGATTAGCTGTTGTATGGCTCTGGATGAACAAGAGAATAAAGTCTGTAGAGCTTCAGTCCCTGGCAGGCTCGAAGAACACTTTGCAAACATGGGTGATAGACTAGAGGACATTGAACTCATGGGTCACTTGTATTTGGTTTAAGGGTACTAGATGGGCTAGAATTTCATGTCTAGCCCAACACCTCTCTCACAATGCAAAAACAAAGTTCAAGGCCCTTGATAGCTCACCAGTAAGGAAATCAAAAAATACAGAAGGGATTTGCATCATTTCTTAACATTTTCATTTAGATTTAAAGTCACAGCCAACACATGGAAACAAGCAAAAGGTGGTGCTTTCTTTGTAGCTGATATTCCACGAGTAAAGGAATTGTAGCAGCTTGTTTTTTAGCCAGGATATACTGATAAAGCTTAAGTAAATGCAGATGGGACACCAAGGACTGCCTCCACAGCGAAGAGTACATGGTGGCTACAGGAGAGGATAGGCAAACGGAACCTGTGCTCTGCCTTGGAACCCTCTACTCAGCCAGACTGTGCTTTAAGCAGGTCCTGGCCCTGTACTCAGCTCAAAAGCTAGGTGCAGCTAATATCATTTGTCCTGACTGCTTCACAAGCTTATTGTGTGGATCTAATTAGACACCGTATACACTGTTTCAAGAGCTGATTCAACATGGACTGATTCAGGGTCACTCAGTAACAAGTTCAGTGCCAAATACTATCAAGTTCACAAATACAGGAGAGTATTGAAATAGTCTACTAAGCTTTCTTATTAAGCAACAAACTTCATCTTCCTGTAAAAGGCTCCTCTGATAGATATTAAGATGCTTTTCTATCAACTAAATAAGTTTCTGTTAATATTTCCTTTAGTTGTTACCTAGAGTATAGAAATATTTATGCAGTTTTAATATAATCTTGACTACCAATGGAAGTGTTTTTTATTAAAATTGAAGCGTAAAGTATTAAAAATGTGACTGTACTTAAAAATTTTTAAAACAGAACAAAAAAGGATACCATCTAACTTTATAAGTTAGAAAAGTTTCACTTATATTCAAAGCATTAATTTTTTTAGCTTATTGATTAGAGTTTATAAGGTACTCAGCAACTTACAACTTAAAATGTCAAACATGGGGTTTTAACAAAAATAAAATAGTGGAGAAAATAAAGTAAGAAGAGACATCAAACTAGACATTTCATCATAACACATAAGCCAACAAATTGGTAAGCAGCAGTAAACCACAGAAGGACAGTAAGGCCTTGTCTTCATTTGTCTCTCTAAGGAGTCTCATAAGCAAGTCATTTTAGAGGTAAGAGTGTGCTCTCCTAGTTAGAGGAAGGGGTGGACTGACTGCCAACGCTAGGCAGTTAGCAGTATTAGCAGAGACAATTCCAGAATAAGGAAACGGTAGTAAGAAGAGAGCAGCGATAATTCAGTGGTTGTGACTGAGGAAGACAGCAAAACTCTCTCTGTGCCACCTGTAACATGAATGTGTTGGAGGAAAACTGGAAATGCTAGTAAGGGTGATGATTAAAGGTGGGCCTGTGGTTATAAATTGCTTTTTTAATGGTGATGGCAATAGCTGACATACAGAAAAATAAGAAGATGAAATGTCAGTATCAACTTTTATTAGCGCCATGAACAATAAACACTATGCTGAAATTAGCTTCATTTGTATTAGTATTTTTTTCTTATAAGTCATCACTCTGAAAGCAGGAACAAGCACAGTTCATTTGGAAGAGAACTATATAAACCTACCAGCATTCTCTATAATCATCACTTCTAGTCTGGGGAAGCCTTCTACGTTTCTTATCGACATTTACAATTCAGACACATGGCTGTGATGCTCAATTGCAAAAAACCCATGGAGTCAGTTAGAAGTGAGCTGGACACCAACAACACATGTATTCATTAAGATTGTTACTTTACCCTCCTCCATAAGATACATGCAGAATGGCAGACAGGGTCTATGTCTGGGTCAAGTTAATCTGTAAGAAACAGTTGGGGATCAAGAAGCCCAAGCAGGGTATAAACTCCGACCAAATTTAAGGAAGTACTCTGTTGAACTCATTCTCATTAAAAAGGCCAGAAAATGTGTGAATTTCCCCAGTCACAATTGCCTTCTTTCTTAATTCCTCTATTAACAGATTAGGTAAAATGGAATATTTGATATGAATAATTTTAATAGAAATAGAAGACAAGGAATTCTTTATCCAGAAATAGACTTTGTCAAAGGCTGAGTGCCATGCTCTGAGATTTAGCCTCCTGTGGTGCCAAGCGATGGGACAGTACCTCTGTAATTTCCACCCTAGGCTGGATTGGTTGTGGGTGAGAGAGAACACAGCCCAGAAGAGAAACAGACCTATGAGCCAAGAGTTAGGATGATGTACTAGCCGTGTATCAATGGGATATTTGCATAAGCTCTTAATTTCTGTGTATTTTTCTGAAAACTGCAGCCATAATATTTTATATCTTATAAGGTTACTGTGAGGATTAAATGAAGTATTTGGATGATAAAATTAGCAGCATCTGGTATATAAGACCTCAAAAAATACTATTATTACTCTAGTCATTAATACTAATAGCATACGTAAAAAGTAATTTCTCCACAACGTTACATAACACATGTCCCGCATTTTGTTTCTCTCTTTAACTCCACCTGCATCTTCATCTGAGGTGAACACTCTGACTAGGTCAATGCATGCATATTTTGTCTTCACATTTCTCTCGCTTTCAAGGCATTTTTTTTTTTTTGAGGCCTATCACTTAAAAGGTCCCTTTCCTTTCTGTGAATGGTTTGGAACCTTAAAAATATTGTGGTTACTCTCATAGGTATGCCAGCCACGTGGTGACAAAAGATGGTACCACAAGCATCGAGTGATCTCCTGCCCCTGGATCATTTAAACATCCGCCTACCAACTCAGGAATTTTAAACAAGAGAAGGTTTAACAGGCAAAGTTTTAAATGAGCCAAGCCATTTCATGCTTTATACGTGATGGTTCCATACTGTAATCTGGCCCAGGTGTATGTGCCTATGTCCTGCTTTTATTGTTCCAGCTTTTAAATTCTTAATGATGATATCATTAACCCAGGCAAACCTATAGATTTCCTGCTAGCATTTTTTCATAAAGAAGTACACCAGAATTCCAAACAAGCAAATGAATTGATGCTGGGACAAATTCAATCACATAAAAGAGGAGGCAAATAAGAGCCTAGGATAGGTTTCAGGGAATTTTTAAGCGCAGGGCCTGGGATAAGGTGTGCAACCTGTTAATATGTCCCTCTGTGGTGCAAGTGGGTCAGACATGTTCACACTCCTTTGTCTAACATTCCCGAGAACACAAACAGAGGTTTCTGAGTTCGGAAAGCCAGGCCTGTTTATGGAGGGGCGGGGGGGCTTACTGGATTTGCAAGAGCAATCGAGCTCCTCAAAGCAAGTATTTTCATACTGTGTTGTCCCCCACCAAAAGTCCTTTCTTTTCTCTTTGTATTTTACTTTTAAAGTTTATACTTTGACAATAATTCTGTGAATGAAACCCCAATGAATTTCTGCATTACTCACTAAGGTAGCATTTTTCAAACACTGTCTGTCCAAGTTAGAATACCTAAAATGGAAATAGAAGAACCTGCTAAAAAACAAGTCAAATATTTTCTACTGTGTAAGTTAAAAATTGAAAGTAGCAGCTGTTGGAAATATCTAATCATTTTTTAAAAAGCTGAATAACTTAGAATCTAGGTAATTCACTCATCAGTGTCCTGGAGCACCAATGTAAAATCCAGTCACACATGATATCCAGGCATATGGAAAAGAGGTGGCCAGTGAAGAAGAGCAGGTAATCACTGATATTATACAAAAAGTTTTTTTTAATTAGGACATTAGATAAAGTATTTTCAGTCCCATTATCAGTACAGCTGCTGCTCTTCTCTGCTTCCCCGAGGGTTAGAAAGAGTGGAGGTGAAGTTCCTCTTTGGCTTGCTCCTCATTCTAAAGTAAGGAGGCTGGAGAAAGACAATTCATTCTAAACCAATCTAAGCAATTCATATTTGAAAGACTCATGAAGGGGAGATCTTACCTGAGCTCTTGGATCAGAGAATCCATTGGTACTGTTCACAAAAACAAAAGTGAAGGAGAGAAAGAAGGAAAGAAGGAAAGAGTAAAGAAAGAAAGGAACAAAGATAGGAAAAGAAAAGAAAGAGTCTCAATTGAGTTTATTTTTTTAAACCGTATGACTGAAACTTTTCCCCTATCTAGAGATAACACTAGTGCCTGGGTAGGACAGACACCACCTGGCTTCTCACTGAATGGAATGGGTTTTCTTTCACTATGGTTGTTTTGGAAATAAAAAAGCAGACAACAGAGCCCAAAACAGACTCATTCTAGGTTTGGTACACTGGGTGGTCTTGGCTCCTTGTTGGTGAGACTGTCCAATGACCTGAATTAGAGGTATGTTGAAAAAAAAATCAGAAACAAGAAACCTTTGATTTTTTTCTCTGAATTAAATGTTTTCTTCTTTCTTTCTTTCTTTCTTTCTTTCTTTCTTTCTTTCTTTCTGGATTTTCAAGACAGGGTTTCTCTGAGAAACAGTTGTGGCTGTCCTGGAACTCACTCTGTAGAACAGACTGGCCTTGATTTCACAGACTTCAACCTGCCTCTGCCTCCCAATTGCTAGGATCAAAGGGTGCACCACCACCACCAGTGAGAAACTATTTAAAAGAATTTCAAGATTACTGCTTTTATTTATTTATTATTTATTTCTGTGGTTCTGGAGATAGGTCTGTGGCTCATGGAGTCTACGCAGACGTCTACTTATGTGTCGCGCCACAGCTCTGTGCATCCATATTTAATACCCGTAAGCAAGCTTCCGGAGGGAAATGTTAACTTCACTAGTAAGTGCTTCAAGCTGATCCCAAACAGTTCCTCCATACGGGAGACAGGAGCAAGCTCCAGCACTGTTAATATCAACAGCCTTTCACAAGAAGGAGCTTTGAATTTCTGCCTGAAAGGCTGGGAGCTCAAGGAGGTTGTGTTGATAAATACCTGCCTACACAGGGGTAAGCAGCATATGGAGGGAGACAACAGGTGGCTTCTCAAATTACTCATGCTTCACAAGAACAGTAGTTCACTTCAAAAAGAACATGTTGGCTCTGTTTAAGGCTGTGTGTGCATTGCCAAAAGTAAAATAAAATAAAATAAAAATAAAGACCAAAGATATTTGCAAATTAAAAGACCCACATCTTGAAAGTGTGGTAGAGTAGCATGCTCTGAAAAATCCAAATAAGAGACACACAGTCCAATCTCTAGGATCCTGCCATCTAGAGCAAGCACGAGCTTATTCTAATTAAAGAGATAAAAAAGAAATTGACTACTTTTCTTAAGTATATATCCCATTGAGAAGTTTGCTGCACAAAAATTTAATGCCCTAGAAACACATTATGTCAAATTTAAAGATACAGGATATGATTATTTCAAAAGTCATTTAAAGTAAAACTAAATACTAGTACAGGGTAAAAGCTCTGTTTCAGTGGACAAAAGTCCATACTGCACACAGGATTACTTTGCATTTGGGATGTACCGGTCAATGGTAACAACTGCACACATTTTAACTAAAAAATTCATCCTTGACTGAATGAAAAATGCTGGTATTCTGGATTTTGGTTAAACAAGAATTAACTACGTTGACTGCATATGTAAACACATAGCTAACAAGCATACTGCTTTTGGGTAATCACTCTGAACTCCCAAACCTTCCCAGGAAGACAGGGTCGCAGGGCTCAGCTCTCTCCCGTATGGGCATGGACACCAGAAGGAAGTGTGAAGGACAGCTTTCCAAGATGTTTTCAGAGCCATGGTGAACTAGTTTTCCACTTAGAATTCAGGGTCACAAAAATATAGCTAATTATAATAAAAGTTATTTTCCTTGAGGGGTGTAATTGCCAGTCAATCCTGTTTTCCAGCTGTTTAGATCATCAAGGGCCTGTTTATATTTCAATATTACATTACCATCTGTTGGTTACAAAAAAAAAAAAAGAGGGGTAGCCAGCAAGTTGAACCTTCCAAACATTACTTTCTGGAGCTGCCTGGAACTCCCAGCAGGAAGAATCAAAAAACAAATGTTACCATTTCACTTGAACTAAGTAGGGACTGGGACTACTAAGCCAGACAGCATAAAAATAAAATTCAGCTTCAGCTGTAAACCAGGAATCCAGTTTTTGTTCCTGTCACTAGAGCGCATCACTTTTGGTACCCAAAGGTTTCGGTGGAGCATCCCTCACTGACTCTTACTACACACAAGGGACAAGCACAGGCACTCCCATCCTTCACGGTGTGGTAGGCAGTGTCAGGGTGCCTGCTCACTAACTCACCTTCAGTTCCTTTTGAGAGAGTAAGCAATGATTTATCCTCAACCTCCGCATCCATCTGTAATGTGAACACAAAGTACGGAGATCATTACTTTGTCACTGATCAGACTGTGAAAACAAGTAATTAGACATTCTGAAGATCTTTATGAAGAGCAGACTATAGCCTTCCATGCTCCTGCATCCCCTTCTGGCTCTATGGAATCTGGCTGACTGTTGGAGAGTACCACCGAATTTAGAGACACATCTACAGATGCTGGAAACCAGAGATGCTAACAGCCAGAGTGCAGATGGCCTTGGCCACAAGTGTTTGCTAATGATTTGCATACTTATAGAATTCCAAAGACTGAAAAAGGGTTGTCTCTTCCACAGTGCTTGTGAAATGAGAACTCCGAACAGGAAGACAAAAGATCCAGACTTATTTACTGATTTCAAATGCCTTCGGCTTTCTAGATGCTTTCTGAGTACACATCTTCTAAGTTAGGAAAAACAAAAGCCTATATAAAAATGCAACCCAAAGACAAATGCTTGTATTGCTCCCCCTCCCCCCCAAAAATACCATTGGGAGTTATAACTATCCACAATGAACTACATTTACTCTCTGAATTCCTGAAAAATTACAGTCATCGTATCACTCAAATGTAAAAGAAACATAAAATCCAAGTGAGGTTCATGGAAGTACCAAATTCCCATCATTACTGAATATTTTAAATGTAATCAAACAAATGATCAAAGGGATACAAAGGCATCCAAAGCCTTCTGTTTTCATATACTTTGACCCCAAGACATCTACCCATTTTGCTAGAACCCACAAATAACCCCTCAATTTAATTCACTTTTGCACATTTTCAGAATTCTTAAATGTAAGTAAGCTGCTTTGCCTGCGGAAAACGAGAGACAGGCAGCAGAGATGCTCTGTGGCTCCGGTCCTTAAAGCCCGACACGAGCCGTGGCAATGTGACTGCCATGGTAATAGGAGCTAGGCTCCACTCTCGGAGGCTAGGTTGTGATTGAAGGCACTGACCTGCCATGGACTTATAATAGGGGAGCAGGTGTGGCAATGATGGACTTTAATTTCCTTTAATAAACCTTTTATGTGCCACACTTTTACTGCCATTCGACGCTCTCCAAGGTCCTGCACATAATAGGTTCATTACTTTTGATTACTATAGTCTATTGAGACAAACAACTCGAGAACACACTATATATTATGTTCAGTTAAACCAATATAGACTATTTATCCATTGTGCATTTTTTCACCTGCAACACTACAGATGAAATTAACAACAGCTCTCGTAAGCTAAAACTATTAAACCCACCAGAACTCTTTTGTCATTGCTTCATAATAATAAACCAATCGTTGAACTGCTTTTTAAATTAGCAAACAAAAAGTGTTCACGGCTTTGACTGAACAGCAGCCGCTTTAGTCTAAATAAAATGGTTCATTGTTATAAATATTTTAAAAGTACACAATAAGAGAAAACAACAATAAAACGGAGGTGGTTTTTTTCCTGTTGATTTTCTTTCTTCTGAAACCATATGAGCTTATGGCAGATGCCTAGGATTAAAAGGGCTTGGTTTACTTAGGATGGCAAGTACTGCGTTGTGAAGTCCCCCTCCTCCCTGGAGGATCTCTGCTGCATATAAAGTGGCTCAGCTCATGCAAACGTAGCTCTGTGGGCTACACAAATAACTAGATTAAGGGAGATCAGTAGCATGTGAGGGTTAAAATGATGAAACACATCACATATTTCTGAGGAAGCTATTCCCATGGGCAGGAATTCACATAAAGCAAGACTATTATTCAGCAACACAGGTGCTATTAACCTTCCCTAGACACTCTTAAAATGCCCCCAACACGAAGGATGGTTGAGCTCCATGAGTTTCTTTACCAAAACTGGAACACAGACTGCCAAGAGTTCCAGAAGGCATACAAAAAACTTTCAGAAACTAGCTAAAATGCAGTATTCTTTTTAGGAGCTTTGAGGAGTCAGCCATGGATCTGGGCTTTGTGACCACCTTACGTGGCCACCTCTTCACCATAGCCACTGGGGGAATGCATAAACACTCCTTGACTGCTCTTAAAATCTCATCTCATAACCATTTTGCTGAGCTTTCTTCTCTCCCTCTCTTCCTCCTTCCTTTTTCCTTCCTTCCTTCTTCCCATCCTTCCCTCCCTCCCTCCTTCCTCCCTCCCTCCCTCTCTCCCTCCATTCCTGCCTTCCTTCCTTTCTATCTGGTGTAACTTATATATCCGCTGTAAGTGTTAGTAAGTTTTGAAGTTGAAATTTGGGCCTAATAACAGACATGCAATGGAACAAGGCTATAAATTTATAGGATATCTCCTTCACCCTCAAGAGCAGTGTTAAGTTCAGTGTCTGTCATTGGGAAGTAACAATATCAGAAACTGAAAATACATAAACATTTCTTTTTTGTGGAGAATTTTAACATTTGTGAGATGTCTTTTTCTTCTCTTCCATTCTAATTCAAAACCATATTTTATTGGACTATGGCAGAGCTCAGTAGCCCAAAATACTATGAAAACACACACACACACACACACAAAATAGATACATCAGGTCTTTACTCTCTAGCACTTTATATCTGGGAGCAGGAACTTCTAAATGTTCTTCATTTGTATTATTCCCAAAGGCCTTGATACACTGCAAAGAACACGGGTGGTTTTTCTAGAGTCAAACCTCTTACTAGGGTAGGTGTCTTGCTCTAGTCACATAATTCAAGGTGCAGAGACTACTGTGCTGCGCATGTTTGAAAACTTGGAGTAGAAGAGGTTACCATCCTGTCCAGTTCCTCTTGAGTTATAAAGTAGACATCTGATTGTTACATGAGTCAAGAAAAATGACCTAAATAACATATAATGCAATCTTGAAAATTACAATTCTTAGAAATAGTATTTCCCTTTACTGGAAAGTGATATTTTGTTATCTTTCTGTTTAGGCACCAAAATGTTATTGAACCAATTATAGTTAACATTGTAAAACTTATGAATTGTTTTCAAAACAGGAATTTATTGTAAAATCCTGTCCTGTGGATTTTATGCAGCTTTCCCATAGCCAACTTCATTATTTATGCTGAAAAATGAAGCTATTTCTGAGTTGCCTATAAGTAATTCTAATTTACTATCCTATTTTTCTTCATATGAAACTACATTAAGAAAATTTGCTACACATGGTGGCACACACCTTTAATTCCTGCACATGGGAAGTCGAAACAGGCAAAGCTTGTGAGTTTGAGGCCAGCTAGCCTGGATTCCAGAGCCATTTCCAGGTCAGCATGGCTAAACAGTGAGAGGCGGTCTCAGCAAACAAACTGGGAAGAGTTCAGGGTAACATATAGCTCACTTGTAACACATACAATATTACACAGAAATAAAAAGGTAGTTCCTATTCAAATCTAGCTTATAATATAGCAACATGGGAGACTTTTTGCAAAAGGCTTCCTGATGTGTTGTTCTGGGGAGTCAAGCAAAGGCAAGAGCAAACTGCACGTGGGGAAGACATTAATAAAATGAAGAAAGTCAGCAGACTCTGCAGAGGCTATGTAAGAATCAGGAGTAGAAATAGCAGATACACAATGAAGAGGAAAAATGAGCGCAGAATGAAATCATAGTTGATGGTTGGAAGATGCTATTTGGCATCTTTACTTACTCACAGACCTACACAGAGATGTGTGAACGATTTCCTAGCTATTGTACCTGACGATCTCTTCTAACTGGCACTTATCACATCAAGGCAAACACCAGGTTGCTACCTCAATGCTGCAGTGCAGAGATCTGAAACCTACTTTGGGTTTGAGAGGAAGCTCCAGAGAGTCTTCCTGGAGGCAGGGTTCAAGGAACACCATATAGAATTCACAAATGCAAACTCACTTTTATTTTGTTTTCTCTTCAACAAAGATCTATGCAATAACAGTAGGACAGATTCATAGAGTCTGGTTCTTTGGGGGAAGGGCAGGTTCATAATACATGGGAAAGTCATGATAATAATTCTGTTTTGAGGCAATTTCTGAAAACTCATACACAGCTAATATTGTATTGATATCTACCCCAAATGGGGACTTTTATTTGAGAAATTCTTCCAATATATCCAATGTCCAATAATTTCCCTTCTTTTAAAGTTTTTATTTTTTCTTTGTGTGCTTTGTTTATGGGGGAGAAGTCATTGTATGTGGAGAAGGGTACCTGAGTATGTGGCTGTGCATGCACACATGTGCATTGGAAGGCCAGGGTCAGCCTTGGAAGTCATTCCTCAGTAGCAAGCCATCTTATTTTTGAGACAGTGATCTGGGGCACACAGGTTCAGACAGATGGGCAGACTAATGAGTTCTAGGAACCTTCCTGTCTTCATCTGTCCAGTACTAATTTACAAGTGCACACCACCATGCCTGACTTTTTACACCAATATTGGGAACTGAACTCAGGTCCTCATACTTGGGCAAAAAGATTTTTTTATCAATCAAGACATGTTTTATTTATTTTTCACTTTTTAAGCAGGGTTCATTGTGTTTACTGGCATGTTTGAGATAGCAATATTTTATTAAATTACATTATGTAATTATATTACATCATTCTTGTGAGATACTCTCTCTGATTTAATTATTTATGGTGGAGGTAGGGACTGAACTCAGGACCTTGCGTTTGCCAAACAAGTGCCTTTCTTATGACTTCTATCCCCAGCGCATGAAATGTCCTTTGGACCCTGAGAAATTCATGGCAGATGGGGAGGTTGTTTAGTTGCTATACTGGAAGGTCCTGGAATTCTTACCCTGAGATCCAATATATCCCTAATGGATAGTTCCTTATCAAAAGTAAAATTTACAAAAACAATGAAGAGAAATCTAAGATACTAGAAAAGGCCTGAAAGTCAAGAAAAATGAAAACTAGATGATGTCAGTCTATCAGAATGAAATTTGTCCAGCTTGAGCACAAAGAAGCCAATATTAAATGTCCTTTCTTTCAATGTTGTAGGCCTCTTCTAAATAAAGCTGTGGACCAGTCCAAAGTAGTGGCCTAGATATCCACTTTAGGTAAGGAGAGTCATG